TGATGGTTCCAGCCTTATGGATTAGTTTGTTCAATGTCAGGCGGGGGAAGCTGTTCCTTCATGGTAACATGGATTGAACTGCACCACCTTTCTTCAACAAATACTTCAATCCCTCCAGTCTTTTTCTTACCATTCATCTTGGCATGTCCGTCAACCCGAACACTGAAAAAGCTGAATTTATCCATCTTATTAGCCAAAGACCTCATGTTCCCCATGATGCCCAGTGAAATGGAGTTTACATGTCCTTCTCGTTGCTTTAACTCTTCCTCCACCCGGCACCTGCAATGTCTCCTCTTGAGTTTCTGCTAGATGACCAGTCTGGCTCCGGACAGCAGCTTGTTTTGGAGAGCACTAGTAGCTGGTCCCAAGTGTATGTGAATACAGAGTGACCGCTTAGCATGAAAAAAACAAACTATTAAGAAAAACACAAAGTACCAGAAACTCCAGGAGCTGCTGCAGAAGTCTGCCAAGCACACAGTCGGTCAGAAAGCAACCCTAAATCCTTCTTTTTTTGCCTGCTCCTTTAGGGCCCTTCCTCTTCTCCTCCTGCCTGACAGCTCCATATTCAACATCCTTTGTCCAGCATATCAATTGTCCCTTCTTCTCAGGAAGGACAATCTACTAACCATATGTTACAAGGGTAACTGAACCTTGTGCTACATTAATATAATAATGAAGTAAAATTGACGATAGTACAAATATTACTCTTATTCTAATGAAAGTACTCAGTCATCTGTTATGTAGGAGACATGCAGCAAAAGATCATTTTTTAAAATAATTATTTTCTGTTGCCTGCATTTTAGAGGGGCCTTTGCCTCCACACATAAACAGTAAAATGAGTTCAGTCAGGGGTTACAGTAGGAGTCAGCAGGTTAGGGAACCATAAGTTCTGTACAGTGGCTCAGCTTAGAGAAAAGAATCGCAACTCACAGTCACTTCTCATAATAAGCTCCACTGGGTTTGCTTTGTGTGCAGGCTGCGATCAGCTGACCTGCTCCTCTTTGTGGATTTACACAACTGAATTTAAGAAGATGTTTGCAGTTGGCTGATGTCCATCCTCAACAAGAAGAACAACACTCTTGACTCCATTTGTATGTCACAGCTCCCACATCTGTTCGTACTTAAGGTGGCCCTCTGGAAGGGAAGGCTCCCTTGTCCATATACGGCAGACATCTAGGCGCCATGCGCACTCCAAAGGTCACAGATCACACATATGTCAACACGTATGTTCACATATTATAACAACATTGAACTGTGTACATTAGACCTACTTTATGAATACCAGAACCATATGCTGAGCCTAGATTTGTGTGAATGTGGAGGTATTAGTACAGGTGGGGGTGCATGTCTCTGTCGATTCATCTGTGTGTGTTCTTGTATTTCAATTCAATTATGAGCAGCACTTTGGCGACAGTGGGAAGGAAAAACTCCCTTTTAACAGGAAGAAACCTCCAGCAGAACTTAGGGAGGGGCAGGGCCATCTGCTGTGATTGGTTGGGGTGAGAGAAGGAAGACAGGATAAAGACATGCTGTGGAAGAGAGACAGAGGTTAATAACAGATATGATT